AGCATCTGAAGTGCCTCACGAACTTTTTCTCTGCTTATAACAGTTCCATAATTTGGTGTAGGAACAGAAGAAGTTGGAGTGAGTGATGGTGGGGGATTCGGTGGTGGAAACGGCTGGAGTAGAGGAGCACCATAAGGTCGTTGCAGACTTCCTGGAGTACTAAGTGGAGGTGCAGTTGGTACAGGCGAAGAGACGGGGGGGATAATCTGTGGTCCGGAGGAGAGAGGTGGGCCAAAAAATGACGATGGCTTTACCAGATCAGTAGAATGCTTAGACGCATTGTTGGGTTCAGGTGTGTCCAGAATAGGCATTATAGGGGTAGATGTTGAGAGAAGAGATGGAGTCTGGACAGTTGTTAAAGTGGATGACAATATATTAGGCGGACGAGAAGAAGTACCAACTGTTGCAGATGAGTGAAAAGACTGCCCAGAAATTAATGCATTTGGAGTACTCCCAATGTTCATAGCCGTCTGCAACTAATAATTCATTAAATAATGAAAATAAATTCATCAATTTATTGCATGCCAAAACCAATTATTTCAGCTACACCCGTTCATTAAGCTAATCAGAGATTTGTACTTTGTTACATGCTAGAAGAGCATAACACACTTATCTAAGTCATAAAGCACAAATCAATTCAAGTTACCACATACTAAAGATACGAAGCTGGGAGGACAGCAAATTGGGGCATGGAAAAATGGGAGATAGAACTCTACTTGTTTCACTGGAAAGGAGGTTGGAAGTGGAAGGAAGTAAGGTAAAAGTGCGGCAAGTTTCTAACCACAATTATTTATTAGAATATGAACAAGTCAATTGCAAATTCTTGTTTGGTTGAGTTCAAGCTAACAAGATCTCTTGTTATTTCAACAATTATATGACTGAGGTTCCAGGCTGTCCAAGCATGACTTTTCTGACAATTTAATCTTTCTGTCTCGGTACAGCAATTAGCTCTGAAGCAATCTATTTGAATGCATCTTGTAAAAAATAAGCCAAAATCCAGGAAAACAAAAAACGAAGAATGAAGAAGGTAAACATACACTGAAGAAGTTCACAAAGGAAGGATCGTCACGAGCATCTGTCATGTTAGTGGTAGTTAAGGATGATGGCTCTAGAGGACCATCCATTACAGCCATTGATGGAACTGCTTCTAGTTCTTCGAACTCACTGTATCAAAAACAATAAAATGATTTCTCGAGAGGAGAGACAAGTCAAAATAAATTGACAAGTGAGATAGAGGAGTAAACAAACAATGAAGTGCAAATGATTCCGTGTAATGATAATATGGTTTGCCTAAGGCATTTATAAAGTCTCTACAGTAGGAAATATTGAAGGACGACAAGGAATTGAATCCTCAAATATAGGGTGCCTTTGAGTCATTTTAATTTTGAAAAATGTATTATGGAATAGTAGATTGATGAAGAATATGAGATTAAGAAAGAATAAAGGTGTTTATTTGCGTGTAATATTATTTTAATGAAGAATGTATGGTTGAAAATGATTGCTGTAGAAAAAATAAAATAGTAGAATGTAAAATAATGGGTGACAAATAGGGGCATGATACGATCATACTTATATCCTCGTGTTCCTAAAGTAACATATTTGAACCAGCACAAATAACCTACTCGACCAGGGAAATACCCAAACCTTGTGAATGAATTACCTACAACATGTAAGTTGAAAGTGTAGGGATTAAGTTGTAACTCAAATAAATGTCAGACCAACTGGAAAATAGGACCGACTACTAACCCCTTAAGCCTATAGCTTATATACATGGATCTAGGACGTAACAACATTAACTAGAATCAGCATATAATCTGGACAAACAGACACAAACTATTTAATAGAGCATAAACACATTTGATCAGACCTATCTAGTCTCTGTTTTCTGCAGGTAAATCTTCAAGTAATGAAGAATGTCATCCTGTTGGTTACTATTGAAAACATTCAGCTTAACTTAGCATAAATTCAACAGCTATATAATGCTTTTCCATAAATGCACTAGTTAATTGACCTACTTCAGTTTTGGTCCAATCCAAGGGTGGAAATCTTTTTCTCAGCTTTCCATACAGATAATTACTCTAGAAAGAACCTAATAATCATTCCTTTGGAAGCAAGATATATGAACAAGGATTTAAACTCAAAGTTAATAGATAATAGAACCGTGGAAACACAATGGTTTGTTAGTTAGAATGAATTTATAATAAAAAAGAGCAATGTTAAAATAATAATTTCAATAACAGTCAAAAACAGAATTTTACGCCATTCACATAATTGAATCGAGGATAAATGCCACCTTGAATGAGCTGGGTAGCTGGTTACGGAAAATGAGAATAGTTAAAAGCTCCAGTGAGTCATTTGAGTGATTCCATTGACACTATTTTTCGATAATCCTGAGAGTAAAGTAATTCTCAACAGTACACCTCTTTTATACAAAACTCACATAGAACTAATAAATTACAAGCTTAACTATATAATATATCATATCGACATAAGGAGAGATATAGACTGTGAATGCAATTTTTCCCAGTGAATCAATGCCTATTCGCACATCAGTGAAAGTCTCCGAAGTTTCAGAATATATAAGTGCATGTTTGTCAAAGCTTAAAATTGATTATTGGGATATGATCCCCGTTCATAATGGCAAGTCAATAAATGCAACTTAACTGCCACATAGACTCGTGATGATAATGGTGAGTCCAGATAAATAGCATTACTCTCGATTATAAGTGGGTCCCAAGGAATGTGTTGTTAAAAGTAATGAATCATACCAAAAGTGTGGATAAAAATAGAGTTTGACCAGTTCCTAAGCAACTACTAGTTTAGACAAACATGCACCAAGTTATTTTTTTAGTTGAACTTAAACGTATCAGCTTACATGAAATTGCCTGCATTCATGGATATCAATAAGCATGAACCAGCATTACCTTTCCCTAGAAGATACTTTTATCTTTGTAGGCACCTTGGAATAAGCATTGAGTATCCTATTTAGAAAAAAAAAATAAAAAAATCAGCACTAGAATAATGAAGTACATACTGACACAGAAAAATAAAATTTGAAAGAAAGTGCTAAACAAAAATAATAATCAAGGACTAGAAAAAGAAAAAGATGGCATAATTTAACAGTATTATCTTCAACCTCCAGCACTAATAGAATCATAAATCAAGTAAACAGAAAACTGAATTTCATTATGAAAACACGCTGAATTTCATTTCTTTAATCAGCCTTCAACGATGAAATATATTGGATCAAACAGATTTCAAGAAAATCTAGGAATTCAAGGTTTTAAACCAACTTCATTATTATTCCAGTTAGTTAAAATTAAGCATTGAACATGTGTCCATATGTTGCCAAAAATAATCTCATTTATTAATACAAGCAACCAACAAAATGGAAACAGACAAAACAATTACACATATATAAGAAAACGGAGAAAAAAAATAAAACAATACACCAACCTACTAAAGAGATTCGCAACTTCTTCACATTCACGTGCATTGTAGAACCATATTCCATTTACCTCTTGGGCAGCATTACGATACAATAAATATGGAACCTGCACTTCATACTCAAAATCGGCCAAGAGATTCTCCACCAAATTATCTGCTCAAATCAATGAACTTAGGCATCATAATCACATATACACTTTGCATTTTCACACAGTTTCTTATTAACTGCAATCAATATTTCATGCTATTGAACTAAATGTAACCAAATTTACTGAGTAACCTGTATTTCGGCGATTCATTACTATAAACTGGAACCGGGGTTGAGTATTCCTGAAACAACAAAATTTATTAAATGCATAAAAACCATAAAAACTCGGTCCAAAAAAGGAAATCAAGCTTCCCAAAAATTCCCAAGAAGGAAAAAAACTACCTTTTCACCACAAAGAGAGAACCTTCCACATCCTTTCGACTCTGCAAAAAATAATTACAAACCCTCACAAATTATTGGAAATAAAAGTCAAATTCATTAAACGACGCGAGGCAATATTTCAACACGCATAAAACCCACATATTTATGTAAATTCCTCGATTTAGTGTATAAATTACCCATTGGCTTGTATCAACGTTGAATTCGTAGAAGGTGACATGGGCAGCGGTTATTAGAATTTCTTCAACAAACGGATCGATTCGCTGCAGCACCGTCAAGTTCAGCACCTTCGTACTCTTCTCATCTAGATTCGGCATCAATTTCCCATTATGCGACATCTGTATATCCCCCACCCTTTCTCTCAACGTATGCGTATATAAATTATTTTACAGAGTTTTATAAAGCGAAAGGAAAATCGAAAGACTGTAGAAGAAACAGCAGCTTTTGCTCCTCAAGTTTATACGCACATATAGATACAATATATAGATGGATGCACCCCCACGGCACCCACCATTGGCCCGGGTCCGGGATCCGCGTGGATACACGGGTTTGGATGGATTCTATTGTACATTCAAATCAAAGATACCTTTCCTTTCAATCAAAAAGTAAGTCATTTATTATTATTATTATTTTTAAAAAAATTACATGAAAGAAAAGAATTTGATAATTAGCGGGGAAAAAATAGTATCATTGTTACTTTGCCTTTGTCAACCAAATGCGAGTGGAGATAAATCGTCATCCAGTATGAAAGATGGATCGTCGAATTCTTGTTTGGAATGTGTGAGAGCTCAACTAGTAAAAATTAATGAGCAACATGACGCAATATAAATTGAGTGTGTCCTATAATGAGCATGAATAAAGGGGCGGGGAAAAAGATTGATATGACTGCTCAAGATTGAGTATTTTTATGTTATTCTTTTCCAATTTTCAATGATAACCTGTCTAAAAATGAAATTCTATTAAGAGCTTGTTTGAGGGTATTTTTTCCTCCAAAAAATTAATTTTTTGACCGTTATTTCACTATTTCAATCATCATATTTGATTTTTTCTCTCAAATGTGGATCTCACTTTTCTCCTAACGATCAAAAAATCAATTCTCAAAATCACCCTCAAATAGGCTCTAACTCTAACTATGTAGCATGATTGAATGAGCATACCCATATATCAAATCTTTCTATGCATGAATATAGACTTATTCAAATATTATCATTACTTGAAGAGGAAAATGACGAAACCAGTCGAAGTTATAGCAGCACTTGTGAATTCCTAAGAGTTTCTAAAATGTGTCCCCTACTTATTTGACCAATTATCACTACTATCTTAAGTACTGTTCATTTGAGACGTATTTTCCTTTCTCATCTTATCCTTAAATGGACTGTTCAATAAAGAGGCCAACTGTGGTTAAAAAAAAAAAAAAGGCAATATGGATATTTCCATCATCTTTTCCATTTTTGGTTTCTGTGTGGGAGATTTTCAGCCGAAATCTTGACTGACCCCTCTCATCGGTGGGATCCAAGTGACTGAAAGAGGGTATATGTACTTTAAATACTTGCTCCGTGACACATACAAGGAAGATAGAGCAAATATATAGCCCNTCCAAGTGACTGAAAGAGGGTATATGTACTTTAAATACTTGCTCCGTGACACATACAAGGAAGATAGAGCAAATATATAGCCCTCAGGGCACATCTCCAAGTGGTAAAAGGAGAGGGTGGAAAAATCCAGCTTTACTTGAGACTGCTGCGTCAAAGATTCGAATCCTGAAATATGGATTTGGCTCTTGGGTAAGTGCAAGTGTACAAACAGCCTTCCAACCTGTACCCTTGAAGGCATAACTTGCGATTTACCTCCCTCAAGATACTCCAGAATAGGGGTGGTGGGGGACTCTTAAAGTTGGGGTTTAACCTTTTAAGATAAAGCAAATATATAACCAAATAGTCCAAAAAGGTGGGCTCAAAAGTTGAAAAAAAATATATAAAAAAAGATGTAGAATCTTGCTTCGTGACACGTACAAGAAAAGATAGAGCAAATATGTAGTCAAATAATAAAAAAAGGTGGACTCAAAAGTTACTAAATTTTTGATCAAATACAAATTTAGCACCTAGTTTGCCCCCATTTTTTCAAATTAAAAGGGGTGAAATAGTTTTCTTTTTTTTTTTAGTGGTTAAAAAATCAAGGAAAAGTTTTCTATTTATGTGTAATATATATTATTTTATGAAAGATAGTGTGATTAAAAATAGGAAAGAGAGAAATGAAATTTAATTTAATGGTGGCCAAATGGGGACTTATTTATCGGATAAAAAAATTTGAATGTATACTGAATTGATTTAATACTGTAGTTACTTTATTTGTGTGTGGTAAAAAAGCCATCTTTGAATACTGTAGCAATTTTATGGTAAGAAAACCAATAGCACACAAGCATTTGGCTTTTTTTGGTCTTGACGTGGGCCCCATTTATTGATACTATTTTGCCCAATTTGAATTTTTACGTCCAAAAACAATAGTTGACATCACACCACATAATATTTTTTTTTTATAAAAGTCGTCACGAAAAAATAATAAACATTAATAAATAATTGATTTTTTTATACGCATTTTTAACACACACGTGTTTGATGTACGTTTAAAAATTTTCAATATTCATTTAGATCATTCAATGTGTGTATGACATTTGTTTTTAAAATGAGTTTAAAGAGAATATAGAATATTTATGCACTTGACTATCGTACAATCGTCGATAAATTTATAAAGTTAGCTTGTTATTGAAATTCTTAATTTTTTAAATTATGTCTCATTTGACATTAAAAAAATTTAAAAGTTTATTAGGAAATTTTCTAAATGACATCAAAAATTATTGTCGCAAAAAAATAATAAACATTAACAAAATAAATTTTTTTTTTAAAAGACAAGTTATATGCATGTTTTAACACACACATTTGATGTAAGGTTAACTATTTTTGATATTCATTTAAATCATTCGATGTGCTTATAATATAATTCTCGAAATGAATTTTGAGAGAATATAGAAGATTTATGGTAGATTTTTATAAAAATAAATAAATAAATCACAAAGTGAAAAAAAAAAATTTAACCAAAAAATCAATAGAACAACTCCGCGCATCATGGAGCGCAATTTTGCTCCTAGCTCTTGGATGCTAGGAGCAATTTGCTCCATTAGGCATTTATTTTTTTATTTTTTTGATATAATGCTCAGTGTCAATTTTTTTTTCATTGGGTGATTGATTTTATTTTTTATTTTTGTCAATTTTTTTTTCACTAGCTGATTTATTTATTTATTTTTATAAAAATCTATTATAAATCCTTATAAATTTTCTACATTCGCTCAAAGTTTATTTCGAGAACTATACAATAGATACATCGAATGATCTAAATGAATATCGAAAATAGTTAAACGTACATCAAATGTGTGTTAAAAAATACGTATAACTCGTCATTTCTTCTTTAGAAATCAATTATTTTATTAATGTTTATTTTTTTTGCTACAATTTTCTCAATATAATTTTTTTTCCTTGGTGAGTGATATATTTTTTATACAAATCTATTTTACCTTTATATAACGTGACACATAGTATATTAAATTATGTATATTGTTTATTTCCTAAAAGTAGTTGCGATAAATCAAAGTAAAACTTAACACAATATTGAAAAAAATTCAATACTCAGTCAAAAAGATGTCAATTAATTTATTTGACGATATTGAATATTTTAGATGTATATAATTTTTTAAAGATTAAATTCAAATATATCAAAATTGGGTGATTAAATAAAAATCTCAACCTCATTTAAGTAACAAAATATTATGCAGTGGCTCAGCTTGTGTTTAGCTCCATTAAATTTTTTTCTCATTTTTCTCTCTTTTATTTTCAATTGCAAAATATTCCATAAAATAATATTATACGTAAATAAAAAAAACTTATTAAATCAATTGGATATTGAACAATAAAAAAAAGATTCAATTAATTAAAAGATTTAATTATATTGAATATAGTTATCATCAAATACGTCATTTATATGTAAAATAGCCACTCAGGTTAAAATAATATTTGATATATAAATTATGAGCCCCAATAATTTGGATTTTTAATCCATGCATCAAGGGAACATTTATCATATTCTCAGAAAATATATTTCAATTATAGCAACACAAAATTGAGGCCAACTAATTTTTCATCTTGATTATTTTAAAATCTAAATTTTTTTATATATAATAGAAATTCGATCATTTTAACGAATTTTTTTCTTATTGTTACTCTTTCCTTTCTTAATTGCCAACATGTCATTTACTATTCATTTTTTGAAGTATTTTCAGTTCCTGTCCTCAAACAATTAACAAATCACTACTTATCTTAATTATTAATTAAAATCACTATCATCTTAAAAAAGAGAATCAGCCATTTACTGTTCATTTAGGACATCTTTAAATGTTCTCATTTTATCATCAACTCTCTTGCACAATAACTATTACACTAAAGGTCTAATGGCCTTTTTGAATTTAAACAAAATATCTCTCATGACAAAAAATCAAAAATTTTGTGCTAGGTAAAGGGTTTAATTCATTCTCTTTTCAAAAGAAAACAAAACTCTCTGTTACCAAATTTTATCCTTGAATATTCCATAATATCTCACTTCACTCCTGAAGTCACTACTAATGGTCTTCCAACACGTTTGTGGTGCTACTGTTTTGTCTGATTTGAATTTTTACGTCCAAAAAAAATAGTTGATATCATACCACATAATATTTTTTTTTAAAAAATGATGTAAATTATATTGAAAAAATTGTTGCGAAAAAATAATAAACATTAATAAAATAATTGACTTAAAAAAAAAAAAAAAAACCTCTCACATTAAGGGTTTAATGGCCTTTATGTATATAGACAAAATATCTATTCACCTTAACAAAAAGTCAAAAACGGCATGCTACCTAAATGTTTTGATTCATTTTCTTTGCAAAACAAAACAACTGAATAGTGATGGTAGCATTCGTGAATAAAGTATCAAATTAGGCAATTACAAAAATTATTATAATCAGAAATTATATAATAATTAAAATTAAATATTTTGCCCCCCTTATAAATATTATTTAATTAAAATTGAAAAAAATAAGTTTTATCATAAAGAAAAAAGAATTAAAAAAAATTAATTGAAAAAAAATGTATTTATATTATGAACAAAACAAATTAAAAAAAAAGATAATTAGGAAAACTAAATAAAGAATATATAAATATTATTTAATTAAATTTAAAAAAATTAAATATTGGGCGACATTACAACCCTACTCAAAGTGGAAGAGACGAGAAAAATATCCAAGCTTTTTAAAATTCTTTTTAAAAAGAAATTTTATAACAATTTTAAAAAATATGAAAAAATTATAAATTAAACAAAAGAAAGTTATGAAAATTAAATAAAGAATATGAGGGTGTTTGAGAGTCATTTTTATGTAAAAATGCATTTTGAAATAGCCCGTGAATTGCATGGGTGGAAAACTGGTATCATAAGTATTTAACTTTCCATATTAGAACTTGGTGCTTTAGTTGGAATGGAATGGCACAGAAACCTCCTATTTATATATATATGAAGAGCATCAAATGCCAATCACTGATACTCACAAATAGCAATACACAAAGCAACATGCACCTGTAAACTCAGACACTGATTTTATTGTAATATTCCTATAGAATAGGATGGCATGTCCAGAGTTCTACAAACTATTAGTAAAAATAAGCAAATAAAATTTGAAACGTTCATAAGGGTTCGAGATTTCATCATTCGGTTGCCTTTCCTTTACGTCTGCTGCTACTGCTCGTTTCTACCAAATAACAAACCATTGAATCCACGTCATCCCCAAAAATGCTGTAAGCCTCGATCACTTGCAAATAGCTGAACCCCATAGACAACATACTCTGCATGCTGCCACTCAGAACTGTACCGGGCAAGCCACTCTCGTACCCTCCCTCCTCCCTCGTATCACTGCCCGATGACCCTGATTCACATATTCACATACTCGTCAGTTGTCAATATATAGAATTGTGAAAACGGGCTGGCCCTTAAAATCCAGCCACGGCACAGCATGCAGGTATAAAATAACTGTGAAAGAATACAACACTCACTGGCTGCAGAAGAAGATGGTTCAGCACCAGAAGCAGACGAATGACCAAGCTGTTGCTTGAACGAGCCATCGGCAAGATATTCTGCCCTTGAAGCTTCCATCACCATGCGCTCAATTTCCTTTTCAGTTAGCTCAAGATCCGAGTAGAACCGCCCCTCAGCTAGAAGTGCCTGCCAATGGACGAAACTCATCTCATTTGATGAAACACAATGAATACAGATCATTCTCCATCACCATTAAAAAGAAAAAATTACATTATCAATCTGTTGATCTTGTTGAGCTCTGATAGCTGCTTTGATCTGATCCTTATCAACATTTGTCTGTTACATTTACCACAAAACAAAATTTTGTGAAAGAACTATCAGGGTGACCAAAGAATAATGAATGACTATATAATTGTTAGGTGTTATACTCATTTTATGCATGATGTGAAGATGTATGTGTTAATAGATACAGACTTACCCCCTGCAGAGAGCTAAACCCCAGTCCAGCACCAATGGTAAGTCGACGAGGATCAACTAGAGAGTTATAATGATTTCCATGATGGTAACTTAGCCGTATTGGAGGCGAGTCTGTATTATAGCTTCCATGGAATGTGTTAATGGGTTCTATATCAAAGAAACTGTGTCATTTACATGATAGACTAACCAAAAGGTAGATTATCTACTGAATGAAAGCAAATATCAAGCATATAAGCATGCACCTGTGCTGTAAGAATATATGTGGATTGGCCTGTTGTACATTTCAGATAGAGCTTGGATCTCAACATTGTTACCGTAAACCTGAAACCCATGGGACAATGCATGTTATTTAGATTTGAAGACCAAAAGAGATTTTGTGCCTAACAATAACAATATTGGTCCCTGTATACTCTCTCTGTAACGGGGCAAAAAGTTGCCCCGCCCCCCCTCCCCCCCCCCCCCCCCCCGGCCGGGGTTTCTTTGGGATGTCAGAGGACAGGTAAACTGACCTTTGCAAGGTAGACAACTTCGTTAGATACCTCTAATTTATGATGTACACACACAGGGAGAAGGGTATAATTTTTGGGCTTTCAAGATCGGAACTCTGCTCCCGAGTGTATGTGTGAATGAGGGAGACAGAATAAAATTTAAATCCAGCAGTTTGAAAGCAGAAATTCTCCTTCATTTATCAAATATGGCAACTTTTCTGCCACTCGTCAAACCCCCAAAGATCACCACTATCATTACCATTCAAAGAGCTAACACCCCCCCACCCCACCCCCACCCCAAAAAAAAAAAAAAAAAAAAAAAAAAAAACCCAATTCCCAAACAATTGTACAGCACAAATAATAGATCAAATCAAGGGCGAAATTCCCATCTATTTATCTTCAGAAAGAAGGTATTCATAGCATGAAAGATCAACCACTAAACTTGAGATCATCTCCTCATGATGATGTCCAGGTAACAAAGGAGATTTCCAACAAAGCCTTGCCTTGTAGTTCAACATTTCATTTCATTTCATTTCTGGAGAACCAAATACAAGGAACTCAATTAATAGAATAACCACCTCTCGTACCTTATCTCTTCTCTTCCTCTTACAATAGGTAGTGAAACCTTCTGTTATAAATTGAGAGAAGTGATCTCTTTCTCGCTCCTGCAAAAGGAAATTTATTATAGCATACTTCAGTATCAACAAACCTAAGTGGAGGCATTCCCTCGTACACCTATGCAGCTCATTTAAACAGAGGAAATTCAAAGTTTCTTAATTGACATCAGAGCATTTACGGAGCCTGGACAATATTAAATAAGCATGCGCAATATTACAAAAAAGGTATTAACTATAATCACCACCGGCTAAACATATACCAATGAAACCGCCAAGAAAAAATTGCAAGCAGTGTTCCTTAATGGAGACAAAGTTAAAAATAAGAAAAACAAGCCTCAGATAGATTAATTACACAGGTTTTCTCTTACTTAACTCGGACACATAACTGTTTAATCATTGATTAATTCGCATATGTTACACATAGGTTAACAATAAAGTTAACCAGATTGAAGCTTTCATAGAAGAGTTACATCTGGTCTTTTTCTTTGCTTGTAGTTAATACGGATGCATGTGTGTGCTCAATCATAGACTAAACCATATACATCTGAGCACTACAGTGGAATCAGATTTTTATTCAATGGATTGCAGAAAAGTATTATCTCTGTCCAGGAGGCAAGAAGTGCTCCTGACAAATAAATGAGAGAAAAAAAAGAAGTTCGGCCAAAATAGGTTCAAAGTACCTATCTGTTTATATAGATATACATGCATGAATATCAGTGTGTACATGCATATTCATATAAATGTTCAATCAAGTCGACACAATAATAAATCACTCTGCTTGATTAAAATTGTTGTATTAAGCACTGTGGAAGGAAACAATATCCAAGGTAACTGGGGGGTTCCTTTTAGCGTTCCAAAAGTATCTCTCAAGTCTAGGGTGCGAATTATTGAATGCATCCATCATATGGGATTTCCTGTTCTCTCTAAACATACCAAAATGCACTAACGTGCTTTAGATATAGCTGCTACTTCATATCAAAATGCACCAAAATGCCAAGTAATTCAAGAAGTTGAGTGAATAAAATGTTAAAAAGTCCTTTAGACCCCCCAAGATAGCCATCAGAAGTAAAGCCTAACAGAAATTCTTAACACATTATTTGTGCCAGATTTGGGTTTGGATGTGTTATATACTGACATAATGCACGAACGTGCTTTTTTTTTTCCTGCAAGCATGATAGGTGTTTCATGTCAGCAACAAATATTGAACCATACTACCATACGTTATATTCCATTAATTTTTATATTTGATAAATGAAGCTGCTGCTTTTATGGTATTGTGAATTTCACAATAACATGCAGTACAGTGAACAATAAAGATATGATTATATGAACAGCAAAAATATTCCTTCTTACAGAACTGTCTGCTTCTGAGCTGCCTCTAGTCTATCCACGACATGTAATAGTAGTCCAAAAAGAAGGAATTGGATATCAAAAACTCAAATGTATTTCTTTAGAAAATGAAAACCCCAAAAATTAAAATTATCAGAATATGAATGCAACAGATGACCCAACGAGTTAAATCTCACACTACTAGCAATAAACAGAAGGCATTCTAGAATACTTATCTAGCCCTAGTTTGATCCCCATTATTTCCAAAATACATTTTTCTCTCTCTTCTTTTCAACCACATATTCTTCATAAAAATAATATTACACGCAAACCAAAAATTTTCATTATTTTTTAATTACACATTCTTCATCAGTCTACTATTACAAAATACATTCTTAACAAAAAAATGGGTCTCAAACATGCTCCTAATGAAAAAGAGTTGATCGATGGTAGTTGAGAACACTATCAAGTCCAGTTAGTATATGTTTCCAATCACTCATTACAGGAAAATCAAGATAAGACAAACATTACAAATTAAGAATAAAATGTATATTCCCAAGCCAACAATGTTCCCTTAGATTGCTCAATGCAGTCCAATCATGATCACATTTCTATAGCGTTTTTAAAAGCAATCCATCAATGTTTCAATAGACATCAACTAAAATGAGATCTTTTAGGAATCAAAGGAGAAATTATTGACGTGTACTGCCTACACAGAAGAAAAAACAAGTGAAACACTTAAGCATAACTACGTAAAAATCACCATACCATGTAGTCAATGCACATCTGCCTAACCAAATCATACTGTTCAGAGTCACCATATACTTGATATGCAACAGCACGGAAGAGGCAGTTCCCATCATCTAACATTTTCCTCACTTCCAAGCCTTTAACCCGTCTTAAATCGATCTCAAACTGGTGCTCTCTCTGCTGCAACAAATAGAACAGTTCTTTTATATTGTATTAGACCAGCAGTCTCCAACCTCATTCCTACCATAAGGCCTTTTGCTTTGGAGAAATAATGTAAAATGACATTTTATTGAAAATTGAGCCCTCTCCTTAATAAGTTTGAAAATGTAAACAAATGAACACTTACTGCGGTTAACAGAAACATGCTTAATATATTAATAAACACAGATATTAATTAATTACAAAAGCTGTTTAACTGTTTCATTATAAAGGTCAATGAGAAAATCATCAAATAGCTGCTTAATGAAATCTCATAGATAGGCATATTGGTATATGGAAATACATTTGAAATATAGCAAGCACATAATATTTAGTAGTTGAAAACACATCAGACTCACAGCATCATCATAAGAGGAGCTATAGCAAGGGCCCTGCTCATCAGCACTGTTATAACCTTCATTTTCACAATGAGACCGTGGAGAAGATGGCATAGACCCTGTTGGTGATGATCTAGTTGATACACCAGGCCATCCTGTAGCTCTCCTAGATGGTCCAATTCGTACAGCATTTGAACCACCCGATGAACCTCTCCAAGACTTTTTGTTCATTGAAGAAGGTTTTGGTGGTGGCACAGGTGGGGGTGGTGGATAAGAACTGACATTAACCATCTGGAAGGAGCTTCCAACAGTTGCATCACTTTCCTCCTCCACGACTGACAACCCACCAAACCCTTTTACCAAGTCTCCAGCAGCCACAATATCGTCACCATGAACCTTCTCACTGCTCACATCTTTTTCGCTATTGTCATTCTGATCATTGTTTAACTTTTCTGGTGAAAGATCCTCACTTCTTGCTTCCTTACTTTTGCTATTTAAAAAACCAGGATTCTCTAATGACTCATCCACGACATTTTGTTCTTGAGCTTCCCCCAAATTATCATCTCTGATTGATGGAACAACCTGTGCATTACTAGTAACCTGTGGCAGTGGCGAAGTTACTGAAGACGAAGGATTGGGTACCACTACAGACGATGACCTGTTTTGATTTGATGATGATGATGATGATGATGATGACCCAGTAGAACCACGTTGGACTAAAATTCGAGTCATTATTCCCACTCTCCTTCAAATTCAATACCAATGTGCAGTTACCTTAATTATATCTCTCTCTCTCTCTCGTCCAAGATTACAGGTACAAAACTGTAGGTTTCAATTTACCGCGGGTTCTGACCTTAGGAGCAGTCACACCAATTCCTTGGCTGAATGATTTGTTTTTCCAGCCCACTAAGCTCTGATCCTCGCAAATCAATTTCTGCATTCCCCTAACAATTCTCATGAGATCTTGACCGCCTAAACTTCTATTCTTAAACAATAAAAATCCTCTTGTTAAAAATTACTCAAATTTACCAGAATTAGAGCCCCTTGATTACGAAATTTCACCTGCAACAGCTCAAAATTTCAATTAAAAATAAACAAAATAATAAAACAGATGAAAATTTTAGTGCATATTAACCTCTATAAAACCAAAAATCACACAACTGAAATTCAAGAAAGTTTGAAGAGCAAAACACCGACAAGAAGAATTCAAGAATCAACCATGGAAGATGAAAAAACTGAATTTCTATATACCAACCTAAGCTGAACAAGAAACGATCCTAAAAATATGGAAAAGGAAATTTCGAATAACTGAATAGAAGGGTAAAGTAAGATACTCTATAACACCAAATAATTCCAGGAAAACCACTTCACACGTATCAACAGAAAAATCAAACCCCAAGGTAAGAATATAATCCAAGATTGGAATTGAACGCATCGATATTTAAAAAAAGGAGCATTGATAAAAATTAATCCGACTTTAAGATTCGAGATTCATCTAAAATCAGAGGTTTAATTAATTAAACAAAAAAAAAATACACCATAACGAATATCCCATGTTTTAAATATGATCCTTACACGGATATCTATATACGGCAGGTTAATTGAAATGAAAAGGAAAACCCTAGAGTTGACCCACCATAACGAGTGAAGTAACTCACCAGCGTCAAGCAAAAAATCCGAGTTGACGATGTAGCGGAACAGGGAGTGTTGGGCTGTCTAGGGTTTATATGGAGCGGAGCGAACTTGGAGACGAAGAAATGGGAGAGTGAATGTGTACATATAGTGTGTATGTATAGGCAGAGAGAGAAGGTAGTGAGTGTGCGTAGCTTTGTTGAGGGAGAAAAATGGGAGGCCGAGTTTTAAAGGAGGGGAAAAAAGCAGGCCACGTGATTGTGAGTTATTATTATCATTATTTTTTTAGTTACTTTTTCTTTTTGTGTTATTTGTGATTTAATTATTTGTAGTAATTATAATTAGATCTATGCACCTTATTACATTTACATCAAGTTTTACATAATGAGTTACATAATACCACACGTTACTCTATTATTTATCAATTTAAAATATAATCAATTTTTTTATCAAATATTTCCCATCACATTATTTTATGTAATTCATTATGTACAATTTTTATGTACAAACAGCATAATTCTTAGATCTATACTGAAGTTGATTCTAGAAAATTAACTGTATTATTTAAAATTTTGTAGTAAAGGAACAAACGGCTCTGGTTA